GGAAATCAAGTAGTCTTGTCCCCGTCGCCGCGCCTTCTTCTTTTGTCTTTAGTTAGGTTTTTGTTGGGGGTTTCTCTGGTTGTTTGTTGTCTACACACAACAGTGTGTGCGTGTGTTAGAACTCGAGTTTCTTTAGCAATGACGGTTGCGTGGGATGAGTGCCTTGGGGAGAGCGACTCATGGCTGCTCAAACCTCTGCAGCAGCAGTTGTACTACGAGAAGCCGTTGCCAGTGCAGCAGGCGGTGGTTCCGGCAGTCCAGCGTGCATTGCTGAGCGGGATTCCCATGGATTTTTGTCTCACTGCCCCCACTGGCAGTGGCAAGACGCTCTGTTACCTTCTACCCATGCTGCGTCTAGTGGCGGAGTGTAAGCGAGGCGTGGACCACACGCGTCTCCGGGCCTTGGTGCTTGTTCCAACGAAAGCTCTTGGCACGCAGGTGTTTCGTGAACTGGAGCAGCTCACTCGTGGCACAACCATCGCCGTGGAGTCTCTCTGCAAAGCGAGCAACAGTGTGCGGGAGGAGGCGGAATCCATTGTACGCACTGCTACCGTTGTAACGAGCATCTCTTGCTCAGTTGATGCAGAAAATCCGGAGCCTGGCGATGTGCATAACACGTATGAATGTCATGCTGCGGCTCAGGACGCATGTAATGACGGCGTCGCACGGGGGTCGTCACGGTTGTTTTACTACTCCCGTGTGGATATTCTGGTTGCGACACCGCAACGTCTGCTGCGTCACCTGGACGGCACGCCTGGACTCTCTCTCGCCGACCTGCGCCTCCTCGTCATTGATGAAGCGGATCAGGTGCTTGCGGGCAACTTTGCCAACTTTGTGGCCAAAGTGGTGGAGCGTTTTGAGGAGGAACAAATGACGCGGTTAGGTGGCGTGGGTGGCACGCGTCGCCTTGTGCAGTTGACGTACAACCTGCACAAAATGCTTTGCTCTGCGACTCTCTCCTCACACATCGCCCGCATCTCAGAGGTGCGGTTGCGGAACTGTCGCCATTTGGCCCTTGACAGCTTCGGTAGTGACATTCGCCGGGAGGATGAGGGTGAGCCGCTGCAACTGGCGAAGCAGGTCCAGGCACAAGGAAAGAAGCGTCGTGGTGCCAAGGATGGAGCGGACGGGCAACCAGAGAGCGACGGCGAGGGGGCGGGGGACCCCGCGGCAGCCTTGCCTATTTCACGTCAACAGCTGGTGCGTACTTCCTTCGCCCTTCCCCCAAAGCTACAGGAGCACGTGGTGTTCGTGGAGGACTGGTATCGCCATGCCGTTTTGCTGAAACTTGTCCGAACGATTATTTCGAAGCAGCGAGCCGGCTGCATACCTGCGGTGACGACGGCGGTTGTCGCCTCCTCAGGGACTAACGACGACGAAGTCAACAGCCACAACGATGCTGTGCAGAGCAGAGCTGATGGCGCACATGACATGCAGCAGGAGGATGATGACAACTTGAAGGAGGAGGAGAACGAGGCGGAATTCCGTGTGCTCGGTTATCGACGGCGTGCGTCTCAACTGGCCACCATCTCCTCGCCCAGTGACTACCCGTCCTGCAACGATGATGCCGGTAAGCGAATCCTTGTCTTTTGTCGCACGGCAGAGGAGGCACGTGTCATGGGTCATTTTCTCCTTTCCGCTGGCGTGCAGGCGACGGAGTTTACGACGCTTTCCACCGAGAGTGAACGGCGGCGTGCGCTTCTTAAGTCGTCCCCCGATGCATGCATTGTTGCCTCCGATGCCCTGATGCGTGGCGTGGACGTGCCTAACGTTGGCCACGTCATTATGTATAGCCCACCCGAGACTCTCGCACAGTACGTTCACCGCGCCGGCCGCACAGCGCGTGCGATGAGAGCAGGTCACCTGCATCTTCTACTGCAGAAGAATGGACCAAGTGGAACGCAAAGCGATGGCGAGGTTGCCGTGTTTAAGGCGCTCAGTTCTGCTGTTTCACGCAGTCAACCTGTGCAGTACGAACGTCACTTCTTCATGTTTGATCACCCAAAGCCTCTGGCGACGACGACGACGGCGACTGCCACCGACGGCCCTGAACCTGCTACCAAAGATAAGGCATGCCTCTTGGTGGAGGAGGCAGATGCGTATCTAAAGAAGACGCAGGCACGATTAGCGACGCATTGGTCATCGGCACTTGAGAGCAATCAGAAAGAGCAGGTGGTGAAGAAACGGTCACTTTCAGCTAGCGACGGCGCGACAAGGCATGCGCCACCTGTGAAAAAGGAACGCAAGTTATGAGTGGATGATGCCTCGCAGGAGGGAGCCATTGGGCACACAACACGTATTCTCTGCATCTTTTTGCGTTGGGGCATAAATGACACGGCGGCGGCGGTGGCTGACTGTGTTGCTGGTGGCAGTGGGGAAGTGTGATGTGTCGTCTACAAAGCGATTAAGGTGGAAATAAATGTGACCACATGAGGCAAAAAAAATTAATTAATAGACATTTGTAAACGGAGGCTACGCGAAGGCAAAACAAAAAAAAAGATATATATATATATATATGGTCGAAACAGAAGGCACTATAAATATGTGCTTCTTCGTTTTCCAGATTAGGGGCAAATGCCTCCCATCACGACTGCATACTCACTCTCTCTCTCTCTCACACACACACACAGAAGTCACAGAGACGCTCATGTGCTTTTCTGCTCATTTTGGTTGTTGTTTTGTTTTACTTTTGCCTCTGCCTCTTTTCTCTGTTGTTGTTGTGTTGACCCTCCACAACTCGATTTCCCTCCCCACACACACATACACGCACGCACACACACGCTGCTGCAGAGGAATTAACTTGGGGCCTTGTGGTGTTGGGCGTTTGTGTGTGTGTCTGCCTGCGCCTGCTGTCGTCATCGGTCGCCATTGTCAAGTAGGTGCGCCTTTGTTACTGCTGTCGGTTGACGGTGTTTGTGTTTGCGCGTGTAGCTCTCGTCGTGGTGCCTCACCAGGCCAATGGGGGGGAAGAAGAAGAAGGCCGTCGTTCCCATTAAGAAGGAGAGCAAGTACAAAATACCGGCACGATTTGATTGCCCGCTCTGCGATGCGAAGAACTCCATTGCTGTGCAGCTCGTGCGGAGCACCGGATCCGCCAGGCTGCACTGCCGCTCCTGTCGCGTCGGGACCGGAAAGGAGTTTCCGTTTCTCCCGCTGGAGAAGCCCGTGGACATCTTCTTCCGCTTTCGCGAGGAGCTTATGCAGCAGGACCGCCAGTTTCTGCAAGAACACAACATCGTGACCGACACGACGGCGGCGAAAACAGGCCTCGCGCAGCTTACACAGCCGGGAGCAACAGGTACGGTCGCTGGGGCGGAGGCAGCGGCGACGTCACGTGGCGGGGATGTGGCCGCCATGCACCGCATTGAGTTTGAGGACGAGGATGACGAGGACAACGGGTCACACTTTTTTGCGCCGGCAGAGTACGGGGAGGAGGAAGATGGAGTTGCGTTGTAAACACACCAAAAGAGAAGAAGAAAACGGACCTGGTGGTAGTCAGTGATGGTGTCTTGCTACGTTGCCTGTTGCCTCTTTTTTTTTTTTTAGGTTTGTTTGTTTGTTGTTTCATGCGTCTTGGTGTCTGATGGTTCTGCCTAAATTTATGTCGCAGAGGAACCTTCTGAGCGTGAGGTAATGAACGAAGGCAAAACGAAACAAAAAAAGAGGAAAGGAAATAATAATAAAAAAGAATACCTTTTTTATTATTATTATTATTTTGAGAGCATTCATGACATTCCTTGTGGTTTTCTCGTTTTACCCGCTGCCTCTTTATTCTCCTGCATATATATGTGCACATACACACAAACACCAGTAGTTCCGCAAGTTTTCACTGGTATGTTTTCCTTCTGGGCCCCTCTCCTGAAAGGCCTTGGGGCCTTAGCCTGCACCTGCACTCTCGCCGACGCGCGAGGGGGGGGGGGGGGGTTAAGAGGTGATTCCCACTCTGTTTGCTTGTTTGCGCCGAGGAAAGAAAAACAACGTGGCGCAAGTGAAAAGGTGTTGCCGGCGAAACCCGCCTTCGTGTGTAGTCGCCACGGACCACTGTTTTTTTCTTTCTTTCTTTCTTTGGGAGGAGTGCGCTCGTAGATGCCGTCAGCAGCAGGCGGAAGCGGTGGTGGTGGAGATTCATCTACAACGCCACGCCTGTCACGCCACAGTCGTTTGTTTTTGCAGAAGGTGCAGAAGGGTGCCAAAAAGGAGAGCGACGACAGGAAACGGCATCAGCAGTTTGCGGCAGCCGCGAAGCAACCGCGCTCGCTGCAGTGTTTGACCACCTTTGACTGCCCTGTATGTCGTCTGAGGAACAGCGTGAGGGTGGACCTCAACACCAAGGAGCGGCAGGCGGTTGTGCGCTGCACGTATTGCATGTCATTGCGTCCGCGCCCGCTGGACCTGCCGTATCCGTTTTCGACGCCATTTGTGCCAAAGCTTGAGAACCGCGCCGATGTTTTCTTCAAGTTTAACGAGTTGTACCGTGGACTGGCGATGAAGGCCGAACGCAGCGGTGACACGCACGGCTACTATGGCGACACGGAGGGCAGTGGAGGCTACGACGCCGACGGCGTGTTGGCGATTTCGTCTAGTGCTTTGATGAGGGGCACCACAGGGATAACGGTGAATGCAGATGCAACGGCGTCAGAGGGAGAGGAGGTGGAAGAGGAAGAGGAGGCAGAGGTGGAAGAAGAAGAAGAGCGGCAGCAAGTGGAGGGAAAAGAGGGAGGTGAAGACGAAGAGGATTTGGCTGGGGGGGGGAAAGCTGACGAATCTGTGGAAGACGTGGGTGCCTTCTTTGCTGATAGTGATGACGATTGAACGTCCGTGGCACTGAGCGCGTGTCTCCGTGGGGAAGGGGACTTCACCGCTATTTCTTTTTTGTTGTTCACTCCTTGATTTATTCCCCACATGCACTACCCACGATTGAGAAGTAGAAGGAAGGAGGGAGGGAAGAGTGTGTGCCTCCAACTGCATTCATCATCGTTTTTTTTTTTCCTTTTATTTTGTTGTCGTCATTGTTGTGTGTCTCCGCTTAGCTCCTGTACACACGAAAAGTGGCAGAACGGGAAAAATGCGGGTAGTTGGCACATGTGCGCGTCTTTGCGGTTTGCTGTGGGGCGAGTGGCAAGTGATGCAGCGGGTGTGCCGGAATTTTAGCACCTCATCGCGTCGTTTGGCGCTCGAGCGGGTTGAGGTGGCGCACTCGCAGTCTTACACACGGCGGGGCATACCGATTGGTTTCACGTCGTCTGTTGGGAGTGGCAACGGTGGCATCTCCGTAGCATCATCGTCGTCGTCAGCATCGCCTGCCGCCGGCACTGGAGATGTGCTTTCCAACTACGTGAGCTTCCTTGCCGATGACACGACGGGGCCTGCGGCGACGAAGGAGAATGGGGCCCAACCACTCCGTTCGTTGCGCTCCGTGGCGGCCGCTGAAACACTCTTCTTCAGGGAGGAGGCAAAGAACTATTGTCGTCTCTGCATGGAGGAGTCACAGACGACGCCAAAGGCACACATAGTGACGGCTTACCGCGCGAGCCACACCAATCATGCCTGTCGTGAGGTGGTGTTGGATAGTTTGGCACTGCTGGCTATACGAGGCTACCCCATTGATGACATCTACCTCGTCTGGTCTGATGTGCTTTACCGTGAACCCATCTTTCAGCGTATCCCGGAGCTTGTGTCGCCGCGGTGGAGTGTGAATCAGCGCAGCGAGGTCCTTGGTAAGCTGCTGTGTATGCTTAAAGCCATGAATGTGATTGACATTTCCCTTGCCGCTCAAGCCCCTGACACCTTTGACAGTGCCTCGCAACAGATGCACCACCGTCGTCGTGTGGCGTTTGAACGACTGGAGTACATTGGGGATAATTCGTGGGGAAATCACCTTTCCAATCGAATGATGCTTCTCTTCCCCGATAGGCAGTGGACGTACAGCCAGAGCGTCTACGCCTTTAACTGTTTTCGCGACGCCTGTGAGATGAATGTGACACTGGAGTTCATGTTTGATACCCTTCGCGTCGGTGACCTCTTGCCGTCTGGCGTCCGCGAGAAGTTAGGCACTGGGAAGATAAAGGCGGATGTGTTGGAGGCCGTTATTGGTGAGCTGCACGTCACACTCTGGGGGCTGGAACCACAAATCTACGACTCCTCCTGCTTTGTGGAGATCAACGGGGTTGGGGAGGCACGGCTCTCCGCTGTGGTGCAGCACTGCCTGACGGAAATCTACGACCTAATTGTACTCTCGTACATCCAAGAGCTAAGCGGCTCGGCGATCCCTCTCGCGAAGGAGATTGCGGCGGAGCGAATTTGGGGCCGGGCCTACCCACCGGTGCGAAAAACAAAAGATCGTGCCGGAGCTGTGCGGAAGGAGCGATCCTCCACCACAAACGTTATTGGCGTGGGTGAGGTTCGCCAGCTCCCTGCACTTCCATCCCTCTTTGCGGTGCCGACGCCGACGCCTGACATTGTCCTGCATCCCCTGCGACAGCTACGTGTGGAGGACATTCCTGAGGAAACCGTTTGCGCGCACACGCATGCCGACGTGTTTTTGCGCTTCATTGATAGCTTTACAGCCTTGGGGCTTCTGGACGATCGCCGTGTGGGCACCATGGATGTACGACGGAGCTGTGATGTGCAGTTCCTTTCATTCAAACGTCAGTTGGTGCCCTCATTGCCGATAAGCCTGGAGGTAACGGCGTCATCTCTCGATGCCGTGCATGCCGTGGGGGAAGGGCGGGTGCTGGACTTGGAAGAGGTGTATTTCCGCGATGTCTGCTATAACCTTTTTCCTTCACCCATGTCTCCTACCGCAGTTGCGGAACTGAATGCGAGCCGTGAGAGTCTGCCTGTTGTTGCGTCGACGAGTGAACACGCGGGCTGTCGCAGGGACTACGCAGAGCAGTTGCAAATGGCGGCAACGGTCATTTATCCACCGCTGCATGCGACTCCCACACTGATGCAGAGGAATGCGAGTGTCAAGGGGGATCGTAGCTGTTCATTTGAGCCCTCGGTGTACGTGCCACCAGGCACGAAGCCGCCCTCCGCAGGTGTGGTGACGGATAAAAATTTACACTTTGGTGAGTTTGCCTTTCTACTCGCTCCAAGGGGGGGGACGAGCGATCCGAAGGCAGCAAAGGAGGCTTACGGCAACGATGCGACGGGTGCCGCAGCAAGGCGTGATAAGGTCGCTGGGGAGGTGACGCTGGGAGCCACTCTATCGGGAGGCGGTGGTGAAGTTGAGGACAGCCACGCAGCTGGCGAGGACGGTGATGAGGGTGTGGCTGCGGAGGTGTCACACGACGCGCGGATGCAGGTGCAGGCCAAGTGGCACCGCGAGAACCCATACTTTGCCTCTCGAACTACTCTCCCACCACGAGGCTTCTGCGCGTAACGGGGGTGAGTGACGACGACGCAGCGAAGACGCAATGACGCCTAGGCACGCGTACGCAAAAGGGAGGAATCATGAACTGAAGTGACTGCATAACAAAAATATGTCTGTTATTTGGGAGGTCCCATAGAGACATTTGGACATGCTGTCGTTTTGTGGTCGTGTCTTTTGCGTGATAATGCTGTGGTTTCTTTTTTCCAACTTCAGAGATTTTTTTTTTCTGTTTGTTTTTGCCTTCTTCTCCCCGTGTACATCTCCGTCCTTGGGGTGTTCCTTTCGTTGCTGCTGTGTACGCGCCAATGCATGCACACACGCGATGATTTTTTTTCGTTAAAAAAAGGTGGCAAGGAACCACGAGTGTGGCGAGGGGTGGAGAAAAAAGGGAGCTGGTCTCTCTCTCTCTCTCTCTCTCTCTCTCTCTGTGTGTGTGTGTGTGTGTGTGTGGGTGTGTAGATACGACCCTTAGTCTCTCCGTCGATGCTCAGTAGCAGCTGTGCGTACAAACATTAGACGGACATATTTATTTATAGCTCTATTAACGTCAGTAGGAGACATCCATTCAATCACTTGCTGTTCTGGCGGCGTGGGATGCAAGCGAAGGTGAAGGATGAATCGATTGTGGAATTAGACCCTGCAACCGTCTACTTTACTTTTTCTCGTATTCGTCCCACCTTTTCGTGCGGTCGCACAATTGTCAGCACCATCGATCAGTTTCTTCGCCGTAAGCTGACTCCATACGATTTACCGCTACTGTGTGTCCTGACTGACAAGGAGGGCAGGCGCTACAGCCTCAACAACCGCCGTCTCTACCTGTACAAGGAGCTGCGGGAACGCGGTGTGCTGGAAACGGTGCCAGTGCGGATACGACAGCTGCCGGACACGCGGCGCATGCGAGAGAAGTACACGCCGGAGAAGTGTGCGTTGCACGCGACACTGAAGCGTGAGGGAGCTGCCGCGTCCGCGCCCAAGCCGCATAAGAATGAAGGCGCCAGCGACGATGCTCAAGCGCGGGGAGAGAAAGGAGACAATGGCGGAGATGGGGATGAGGCGAAGTGTGTGCTGCGGCAGGAGGACACAAAACCCAGAAGGAAACGACGTGGTGGACGGGCAACAACGTTGGAGGAGGAACTCCTCGAATTGAGCGTTTAACGGGCGGAAGCTGATGGTGAAGAGGGAATCGGCAAGGGCACCGAGAATAATATACATGTGTGTGTGTGTGTTTTTTTTACAAAATAAAATAAAACATTACATAACGCAGTGAGATGTTCCCTGAACCACCGCACACCGTGTGGTGCGGCCGCTGCAATCCATCCCTTCACTCTGGTAGATGCCTGCTCTTTTGTTTCCGTTTTTTTTTCTTGCACTTTGCCGATTGCAGGGGAGAGTGGGCCGCATTACGAGTGAAACAACCAACATAAAAGGGGGGAAAAGAACCACACACACACACACACACACAGAGAGAGAGAGAGAGACGCATCGTGCACAAGAGGAGGAGAACTTGTGGTGGGAGGAGCGTCTGTGTGCTTGTGCGTGTGTGTGCGTAGGCCATGTCAGCATCGCGACGTATTTCGGGGCGGAGGAAAAAGAAGTCCCTGAGCGAGATCGTGAATGAGCAATTGGACGGCGGGGGCGCGGGGCGTCACGAGGTGGATGCGTGGGACGACTTGAGCGGCGACGCCCCTAAAATTGACGACTATCACGAGGGGGATGACTACGACGACGAGAATGTGGTGGAATTGGCCGCAAAGCGAAGCCGAACCGAGCGGCTGCGGGAGCCGAGGCACCGATCCCAGCAAAGACCGCAACAGCTGCGTCGCCGCGGTCCCCTGGACGCCTCTTTGTCAACGGGTGAGTACGCCGCCACGCCGGTAGATGTGGAAGCCGCTATGGATGACATCTTTGGCGCACTTGAGATGAACGATGCAGACGAAGATGAGATGTCTTTATTGGACGGATACATGGATGGGGCGGGTGGCGACAAAAGCCATGAAGATGAGGAATCGTTTGCAGCGGCGGTTGATGCCACTACCGACAATGATCGTGGCAAGAAACGAAAGCGTGCGAGTGGCAAACCAGAGACGGAGGAGGACTATATCGCATGGTTTGAGGCGCAGCAGATGAAGAGGCGGGCTAGGCGTCATGCTAGCGCTGGTGGTGATGAGGATAACATACTTGAACAGCTCGAATCGTTGCGGCACGCGCAAATGGAACTAGTGGCAAAAGAGACACAGGAGGGTGACGGCGACGGTGAGGATCCACAGGCCAAGCAGCGCCAGCGTGCACAGGCTGCGGTGAGGCATTACGTGATGGTTTACTCGCAACTTCTTCGTGTACGTATCAAGCTGCAGCCCCCCATTGCGCGTGCGGTAGCGCTTCCGCAGTACTACGCCCTCCCTGACTTTGTGCGGTCCGATGAGGCACAGATAAAGCATAGCATGGAGGTGGTTGCCAAGCACCTCAACGATCTCGTTGGTGTCTTTTACCTCCTTGCGACGGATGACAAGCAAACAAAGACACAAAATGACACCCCGTTGAGCTTCAAAGACGTCAACAACTTGCATAGACGCATGATGCGAGACGTTGACGCCTGTGTTGAGTACTGGGGAGTCAAACTGGTGCAACCAAACGGTGTGAAGCTGCGCACCGTGGCACAGCCGCTACTGCATCAAATTCACTCTGTGCTTAAGAGTAAAACGCGGCTGCGGGCAAAGGTGCAGAAAAACCGGTCCCATGTGACTATTTTGGGTCACCCCGAGCACCACAAGATGTCTCAATCGGCTGAGGGAAAGGCTGCACGTGCCCTGCACATTGCGGAGGGCGACATTGACGAGGAAATCTACGAGGATGCTGATTTTCTTCGTGAAGTGGTGAAGCGTGGAGGGGTGGCGAAGTTGGAGCAGCAACTGCAGGAGATTCATCGCAGCCTGCACTCAGACGAGGCACCGGCCAAGCGTGGGTTTCATCGTCTCACAAAAGGCAAGGCGGTGAACTACGAGCCCCGGCCAAAGTTGGTGGGATTTTTATTGCCTGTGCCATATGTACTGAGTGGTCAACATGAGGTGATGGTGAACTCACTGTTTCAATAGTGTGGCGTGTGACTGGGGTTGTGCACCTTGCGAAGGAGACAGCGGACTGAGAGACGGTGGCTGGTCACACGGATTGCTAATAATTACAGCGTCTGACGCATCACTAAACGTGATACGTGAGAATCCCCGAGTAAAGGACGGCAGAGGAGGAGGGAAAAAGGAATGAAAAGAAGGAAAAAAAAAATTAATGCCATGAAGGAAAAGGGCTTGTGAACCCCCCAGGCATGGGAGACATCGCAGGGAAGGAGGAATGAAAGCTGGAGGGTTGTGGTAGTGAAGGCAGGGGATCAGTAACGGTGTGGCGGCGCTGCTGCTGGGAGTCTTCCTATCGTTTATTTGTCTGCGTCTTCCATCAGTTTCACCTTTTCACCGCGTGGCGCGTCTCTTCTGTCTTTGCCTGCTTGCTTCTTTGGAAGTTGTTGTGTGTATCATCTATTGTTTCAGGTGCCCTGCATGTGTTCCCCCCACCCCTCGGTTTTATGTTGTTGCTGTTGTTGTTGTTGTTTTTTTTTGTTTGTTGTATTATTTACGGTTCCGTGGGTGGGTGGGAAGTTCTTTGCCCGCTTGCAGCGCAAAGGTAAGTTGGGAAAGAAGCGTTGAAGGAGCCGCTAATACGTTTGTATACGCATCACAGATACTTGGTTTGTGTATAAGATGCAGGCACACGAGGGTGTGGAGGAAAGGCTTTTGGCGCTTCTTTACGATGACGACACGGAGCACGACACACAGGTGCGTAGAGGGCGGGACCTCGAGGTGGCGTTTGCGGCGGCGCTTTTTGACATCATCGGTGCCTCTGAACGGGCGAGCCGAGCGGAGATGCTTGCATGCATCCGCCGTTCTGTGAATTGCTTCATCGAGGCCCCAATACCCGCTCCGCTGGAGATCTTCTTCTTGCGTGTGGCGGCGATGCTGCACTGCTACAGTGTCGTCTCTTCGGAAAAACTTTGTTCGTCATCGCTTCCGGCGGGGACGAAGACGGCTGCGATGGCCATCGCCGGCGCCTTCTTCTCGCGACGGCTGCGTGCGGCGTGTGTGGAGCCAGATAAGGAAGCTGAGGGTAATAATAATGATAATACCAATAAGAGTGCTGGGTCTGAGGCAGGGGAGGCGGACGCGCTGCTGCAGGGACTAAATTCCTTGTGGTTTTGCTTTCTCTGCGTATTTCTTCAGCAGCTCTCAGCGAAAGGTGGCGACTTTACGGCGTGGCAGCAGTTTTTTCGCCACTGTGCAGCGCAGCAGCAGACAACAACAGTGACAGACCCCACCACGCACGCATGTACCCAAAAAGCAGAGGACGGCGGGGATAGTGTGGGGGACTCCAGGACAGAGCAGCTTGCTCTGGCAGCCTGGGGCGCGGTGTCAGAGGAGACATTCAAAGCCACAGTTGCCAGGACGCGGTTTCGTCGCACAGCGATTCTCTGCAAGTCGTTTTGCCTGCACCTCGTCGCCCAGGCGCCCGGAACAACGTACCAGTTGCTGCACACCCTGCGCAGCTTCATGTCAGAGTGGGCGAGGCTGAAAAAGGAATCGTGCGGCGAAAACGCGGTAAATGGGGAGGAACTCATTGTGGGGCGGTACAGCGAACAACTGGGGAGGCTGCTCGGGGAGGGCCAGGTGCACAGCTTCCTGTTGAGCACCGCAATTGGCGCAGTGCTGAGCTCCACGTACATTCTCTCAAATCGAGGTATTCGAGGGGGGGAGACAACACGGTGGCATTTGACGCGTGCAGATACGGCATGGGAATCTGAAACGCATTGGCGTCAGACACACTTTCCGCCCATTGGTAGGCTGCTCGAACGTCTACATATTCGCGAATTCATTGGGGTACATCTCTTCACCTTCTGCATGCAGCTGTGCATTGGGCTTTCCCCAACACATCATACGGAGGGGCGGCAAAAGTTGGCCATCTATTTTTATCTGACAGACGTCTGCTCATTGCGTGTTGCGCTCGCCATTTATCACTTCGCCGCCTCGCAGCTCCCCCAAAGCACACTGGAGGCCGCAGCAATGGTGTTCCCTGGTGAGGGTCTCGCCTCTCTTACGGCGGCCGTCGACGAGTACGTGCAGAAAGCGTACAGTGAGCTCATTTTTTCTGCCGTGGATGCAGGCAGCACACGTCGGCGTCAGCGCCATAGTGCAGCTGCGCTGAATAATGGTGGACACTCCAAGGAGGAGGAACGTATTCCGGTGAACGGGGAATTGACAGGGCCGCGGTTCTCAAAGATGGTGTTCCCTGTTCCCAGCCCCAAATGGGGCCAGTATCTTGCGGAGGCGACTGCCACGGGAGCTACAACGACACCAATAGCATCGGCAGCAACGGCAACAACAACGACGTCTCCAAGCAGAGTCTCTGCGGCTGCGACAGGTGCTTTTGTGAAGCAGGCAGCCTCTGCACAGAGTGTGATGCCCTGCCGCTTTGCGCTGGAGTTGTGTGAGATGGGGCTTCCGGGTCTCATGGCGGAGACCATCACACAGATGCGAGCCGAGATGGGAATTAACGTCTGCCTGGTTCCCTCAGTCGCTATGCCAGGCGCAGGTAGTATTCCTAGAAGAGTTTTGCAGCGGATTCAGACATTCCTTTGCAACAAGGAGAAGGTCAAGGAGGCAGATAGAAACAACAACAAAAACACTTTGGGGCGGTATGCATTTTCTGCCCCGCTGCGAGCTCTTGAAGCGTACTTTCCGCTTTTGTCAACCATTTGCGCCTACGTGGCGTCTCAAGACTTTCTTTGTTCTTTGGTGGAGACCCTCACCGGGGAGTGCGCGCAGCTGCTGAACCTCGTGCATGCGGGGACAGAGGCGGAGGCGGAAGAGCAGAAGCAGCAGGAGGAGCCACACGACGTCTTAAATGCGCAGGCGGAAGCAAGGGACTACGCTGTGACATCTCGCCTCGCGCTGGGATTGGCGGAACGGTACCTAATTCGTGTGGTCATGCCGTGTATGCGCGTTCTTGCGCCTTCGCCAATTTTGTATAGTCGCGTTCAGGTTCTGCTGCTTCTCATGAAAGAAAAAGGGCCGGTTGTGAAATTTGGAACAACTTCTGCTGAATTTCTTCACATGGACAGTTGGCTACATTGGCTGCTGCGTCCGTCCTCGGTTTGCTATCGTGCCCCGCATGACGCCCTTCGCTCTAAGGAGCTTGAAGCACTTTTTACTCAATCGCTAAAGCGCATGACGCAGTCAAACGTGGCTCATTACAAGAAAGTGTTGCAGCCCGTCATTTATGCGAATCCGCTGCTGGTGGCGGAGAAGTTGTTTCAGCAGGCAGTTGGGTATGGGAACAACTTTTTGCAGCTTCACACACAGCTGCTTAAGGGGGCTCCAGCGGCCATCCTCACACTCGTCACCCACGAGGGTCTTTTGATTATGCGGCGATACGCGGAGGCGGAGCGCATTGGATCTGCAGATGCAAATCGCGTGGGACTCATCGCAACGTTTCTCTCTGTGCTGTGGCGTGACAACTCGCTCACTTTTGATGGTGGTGTGTTGCTGCGGGCGGCGGAGTATGCGCTTCGCAGGGAGGCCCGTGCGTCGATCGTCTTTGGTTTGGAACTTCTGCAGTCCATCCTACACGAGATGCTTGGCTTCACTTTTGAACACGAGGAGCAGTACAGCGTGGCACAGGCAAAGGCGTTCCTTACCCCGTCAACAACACAGTGGTTTGCCAAGGGTGCCGCTGAGTCCTTTCGCCGCGGTCGCTGGGACACCTTTTTCACCCCCGCTCTCTTAGGTGACGCCGCCTCACGTCTTCGCCTTGCCCTGCAGGAGAAGTGTTATGTGCCGGTGGAGAAGGCGGAGCCGGAGGAGAGGGAAGAGGAAAAAGAAGCCATGCGGGCAAACATGCACCAGTCATCGCAAACACAACATGATGAAACCGGTGCTGCTAGCGTAAACTTTACGCTTGGGCAGTGCCTCTTGTTGCACCTCTGTCGCTTGCACAGCAGAATCTACACTGTGCAAGCGGATTTGGCGGGGACGATGCAGCTTGTGCTTCTCACCTGTGCGCGGGACTACAATGTGATTAATGACCTGCTGCTTTGTATGGAAACACTACTTCCAGTGGGGCCACCAGAGGATGAAGTCTTCATGGTTGCCATGCCACACATTGCCCTACGCATCACAGCCCGCTTTGCCGTGAAGGAGGTGCAGCGCAAGGGGTCCAGTGGAAAACCGGTCTCGAGTGTCGATGCGCTCTTCAATGTAGCACCGTTTGATGTTATGGGCCATGTGGAAACCGCGGCCTCTGTCAAGACCATCAATGGTGTCATTCCCTTTTCAATTTTACGAACACTGTCCCACTACACAGCCGCCCACTTTGTGTTTGATGAATCTGTGTACATTGCGGCATCGAAGGAAGTGAACCAGTTCTACGCTCACGCCACTGCCCTTGTACGAGCAAATACTAATGCCGGTAGTGGGCCTGGTAGCGGCGGCGGCGGCGGCGGCGGCAGCAACAGCAACAGCAACAGCAGTGGCATCGACAAAAACATCAACAACACTGGAAGCAAGCTGAGCAGCGACCCTTCTATTCGCTGGCTACAGGAGCAGACGCGGCAAATACGACTTGAGAAGGAAGCCCATCAGGCGCTTTATAAGCATTGTGAGGGTGCACAAGGGGCGTTACTTGACGATCTGCGTCGCAGTGGAGTGCTTTTAGAGCCCGTGGCGTTTGCGACCTCCTATCTGCTTCCACGTGCTCTTCTCAGTCTGGAGGACACGCTGTTTGTGTACCACTTTATGAAGTGGCTGCTGGACACCAGCAGGACGTCGGGCAGCGAGGGGAGAGTGAGTGAAGACTACAACTGCGTTGTGGACGTTGTGCTTTCGCTAGTCACCGCTATCATGACTTTTTTCGTTGGTTTCACAGACGGCGAGTGCAAGCGCGTGGGTTTGTTGCTGGCGCTGCTGCGTGCCGCTTTGCACGACACCGTCGTGGAGGTCCCTTCCCATCCGTCTGTAAGCGACACTGCCGTAGCACCAACGGCGGGTGGAACCACGGACGTCGCCACGTCTCCTCTGACGCTTACGACGGAGGCACTGATGGCGCTCCTCGAGCCGAAGCCGCGAACGTTGACATCCATTTCTGCCGCACACGCCACGGTGGCAGCAGCTGCTGCCGCCGCCACCGCCGCGCCTGGTAGCGAGGCTCAAGCAGGAGCGATGTCGCCTGGTGAGAAGGACACGGTTCAGGAGATGCAGGCCGAAGTCCCTGCATTCACAACCCAGCTAGACGCCTATTTGTGTCGTGCGCTCGTGCACATTCTTCTGCACCAGCGCGATGTTCCTTTTCTCCACCGCAACGCCTTTCTTGTGTTGGAGCGGCTCACGAAGAACACGCCTGTCTTTCCTTCAACGTTGTGTGCCACGAACTGGCTGATGCAGGCCATCACTCCGCACGCCGTGCGGAGTTCCACCTGCTACGCCTCGGCAATGGCGGTGTTGAAGGTGCTAAAAGACAATCAACATCGCATGAAGGAAACGTTGGACACTTTGGTCACCCAACACCTTACGTCCACGGGCCTATCGAGGGAGCGGGGTGCGGAGAAAGAGGTCGAAGCATGGTACCAGCTTTGGAAGACGCGGGAGGCGTATGCTAGCTCGCTTCTTGTAGAGGACATTGCAGCTGCTGAGCGACTATGTGACACGGATGTAGTTGCTCCCGCTGCCAGCGATGTGATGGGCCTTCCGGCTGAGGAAGTTGACGAAGGTGTCTCTGCAGACGCAGAGGAAGTGGGGGAACCACCAGAAGCAGCAGCAGCAGCAGCAGAGGACGATGATGCCGAGGAGGAGGACGAGGACGAAGAAGAGGGGGATTATGCAAACGGGATTTCCGTGGAGCATGCGGAGGAACTGGGTGTTGAGGAGCCACAAGAAGCGCCAGAAGATGACGAGGTGGCAACTGATCGCAGCGAGTCACGCAGCTCTTCTTCAACTGATGGCGGTGATAATGCAGGGAGCAACGTCTACAGCCAGCCCCATGACGAGGATGCAGTTGAGGAGGAACTACTAGCCACAGGAGTTTGCGTCAACGACGCGGGGCTCTCCGTTAGTAACCGTCTCGCACAGCCTGCTAGAGAAGGCGAGGGTGATGCGACGGAGCAGGAACGAAAGCGAGGTCGTGACGAGGAGGAGGAGGAGGATGCCAGTGCGGGCCCGCCGAGGCGGGTGACTCGGCTGGAGCTGCCTACGAATGCTGAGGGGGGAGGATACTTAAATGTCACAGCGAGACATTTTAATATTTCGGTGTGTGTGTGTGTGTTTTTTTTTTTGCTCCTTCGCGAATGCGTCTCTCTCTTTGTTTCTCTCTGTGTGTGTGCGCGTTTTTTTTGTTTTTGGGGAGGGACTGATCGGCGCTAAGGAATAGAGTGTGGAACACGACGTACACACCAAAACGAAGAGACGGCAAAAAAAAAAAAAACAGTAAAAGGCAATAGTTGAGTGCTGTGCTGTATATATACATATACATATATATACGTATAGGTGTCTATGTGCATCCATGAGTGGTGTGTCATGTGACTTTATGTATTTCCTTTACATGGGAATCCGCGCGGAGTGCCGCAGTCTTTTATTCCCTCTTTTTTTCTCTCTTTTTTATGCTGTAGGGTGGCAGCAATCTGTGCGGCAGTAGGGATAAACTAAAAGAGGCACGTTTTTCGCCTGTGGTTTTGCGTTCCGTGCTGGATGCGCGCCACGTTTAATTTCCGTTTTCCCAACCGACAAAAGCAGAAGGAGCCATGCGATGTGGTGGTGCGTGTTCTTGTGCCGGCCCCAGCGCAGCGACCCAAAGCGGTGTTGAACTTCTTTTTCATGTGCACCGGTCAGCTGCCGTCGGGTGAGGTGCTGGACAGGTGCGGCGTGGCTTCGGATGAATTCTCAGCACTCTCAACGGGCGGGGAGCCGCTGATATCGGGACTGAAGCCCTTCGCGGAGAGCGCTGTTGTGCGCATCGAGAAGGATGTCATGATGGAGATTGGCAGTAGCACGACGAAAACCATTTTTGGCGGCTTTATTGCGGACGAGCCACCACGGGAGACCACGCCACACCCTGCTACTATCTCTTCGTCTCCAACGGTCACCTCCGCCCATCCGGCGATGGCTGCCAGAATGCGGCAGCTTCGCGCAGGGGCGTTGCTCATCGGCAACGTAGGGATGCCAAACACAAACGGCAGCCGCTATTACATTCTTCTGCAGGATGTTGTCACCGAGGCACAGCGCGAGGAATTGGGCGTGTACCAGCCACTTGGCATTGTCACCGCAGGGTTAGAGTCCCTGTGCGAGGCCTGTGCATCCGCCGCAGTCCAGCCACGCACGCTTGCGCCTCTTCAGGCTGTGAAGATGTGGGTGTCCGAAGTGTGCTTTCAACCTCAAGTAGCCGCTCCAACGCCGCAGATGGATCGACAGCCCGAAGAGGCAACGGTGGCAGCGCGAGAACGGAGGGACGGAACGGAAAGAGTCGCAGTGACACGCATGGCGGGTCGTGCGCGTCGGCGTGATGAGATGGAAATGGAGGAACAGGATGAAGCGAGTGCGAGAGATGCAGAAACCGGCGGAAACTCCACCACTGCGGCACATGGGGGATTTTTTAACCCCGCACTCAGCTTCCCGGCGCCGGCGGGTGACCAGAGCAGAGACCGCAACGGACCGCAGGCGAAGCGCATGCGCACGGAACGCTACATGACGGCCGTCGATGGAACGACGGCGTTGCGCACAACAGCGGTGGAGCAGGCAGATGGTGCACCGTTTGACTACTTTGCGGCGCAAGAGTCTGCATTTCTCAACGACGTCGAAACCATCGCTGCGACACAGGTGGCACGTCAACAACGGCGTGGCAAACAACATGAACAGAAAACACGAAAGAAGAGGAGGCCTGTGGGAGAAGTTGGGCTGGGTCGAACAGTGAATGCTGGTAGAAACACGAAGGGACTACAAAATGCGTCATCGGTGAAGAAGAAAAAAAGTCTGCCGCGTCGCTACTAAAATAGAGAAAAAAATGCAGAATAAATAATATCGATAGATAAGTGAGATCCTTTGGCAATGATCTTATAATATACATATATATATATATATGTTGCAGGCAGCGAGAGAAAGGGAAGGGAGTGGGGTGTAGCAGGGGGTCCGCATTTCTGTCTTTACACGTGTTTGTCTGCTTGCTGCTGGTGCTGTCTTGGTGGTTTTCCTCTTATTTTGTATGTCCTTCTTTCCCCGCGATTGTGCATAGCCACCACCGCGGGCACACATCGCTGGGCACGAATACCACTAGTCATCCTGCCCTCTGAAACAAGGGAGCGGGAAGAGATATAAGTGAGGCAAAAAGAAAATAGCAACAACAACAACAAAAAAAAAAAGAGGGGGAAGAAGGCGATGCTGCGCTATCGCACAAGTGGTGTAGGAAGCTTCTCAGCCCACTACGTGGGTGCTTGGTGGCCGCTCGCTCGACATCACCCGCATCGAGTGACGTGTCTGCTGGCGCTGCATCATGGGCATACGGTGCGGCGGGCCTCGATGAGTCATCTGGCGAGCAGTGAGAGGGCCAAGAACACAGGCAATTGGGAGCCGCAGCTTCGCCGTCTCGCAGTGGTTCGCCCAGATCTAGTAGACGAATGGGTGCCGGAGCTGAACGACACAGATGTGAGCTCTGTGCCGTGTACCAGTCAAATCCCCGTGTGGTGGTGTTGTGCCGCATGCGGGGAGAACTACCAGGCCACTGTGCGGGAACGTGCGGTGCTGGATAAGGGCTGCCCGCGCTGCTCGCTCGAGCGGCAGTCGCAGCATTTGCAACACACAAATAGGAGCGACCGCAGCGTTGTCGAAGGCGCAGCCGCAAGCTCCGGCAATGGCGGAGCTCCATCACTTGCGGAGACGCACCAATTGCTTGCGAGTCGGTGGGACCACGAAAAGAATGGTCTTCTTCGCCCCACTGATGTTACAAGCACAAGCGAGTTAAACGTTTGGTGGCGGCCAGCGGAGGGGCGACCGGCGCATGAGCGGTCGTTTCGTCGTCCCGTGTACGCCTTTGTCGAGGTGCCGTATAGCATGGAGGAGCAAAGGGAGGCACAGGCGAGGATGGAGCTTGACATCTTGCAACAAATACGGCGGGCGGCGAAGATTGCGGAGGCTCGAGAGCGTAACACTTTCCCTGCAGCCGAAACAGTGTTGGATGATATCGTCTCCACTGACCCCAACAGCGCGGCTGCGGTGCCAACGACGCAGGAGTCACAAGGGCAGGAGCTTGAGGGTGAAGATTTCTACAAAGCCATTGAACTCTGGGAACGGAGCCTGGATGTCAAGATAAATGCAGACTGTCAACCGCTCTTCCAGTTTACCAAGGCGTGTGATTGGGGGGAGGTGTCTCGCGAGCAGGTTCTTACCACGTACAATGAATTTGTGATGGGACACAAGGAGCAAAACCGGGTGAAGGAAGGCAGTGGCATTGACCCTCAGCATCCTCAGCCTGTTGCGTCGGATGCGGTTCCCTCCGTCATTACAGACCCGGATTGGGTGAAGTACTTCACACTCTCTGTAGATGAGGTCTCAAAGGATTGCTTTGCAGCATCTGCCCGCCTTGTCTTCTCTGGTATGGTGTCCTCATTGAAACCGCCGCAGTCAGCCGAAGAAGGCGCAGAGGCAACTGAGGGGAAGAGAGACGAGGCCGCAGGCAGACGTTGCCGCGCTGACTCGCTGCCACCCCCACCAGAGGAGTACGAGAGTGAAATCCGCACCACATTTGCCTTCCCCAAGCAATTTTACCCGCGCCGGCCACAGATGCCACCCCATCGCGAGGATGACCTGATGGAGTCGTTTCCAAAGGCAACCGAGGCGACACCACGCCAGCCAGCGTCGTCCAAGGGCGAGACAGATAAGGGGCGACGAGGCTCCTTAAGTAATGACTTGCCCGCTGAGGCGTCCTTTGAAGCTTTAACTCTTGCTGGCACACAAAGTCTTCTGCAGGAGTACACGTTCCCCGGCGACAAGGACGTGCCGTTTGACGCGGATGAACCGGAGGTTCAACAGCAGTCACTGCTTGGAAAGGGGGTCTTGCAGCCCATGACAAACGACGAGGTTCAAGCGCTGCAGTACAACCGAGGGACTCCACGCCCGCGCCGCACTGGAAGGTTTCGATTACGTCCGCCTGATGATGTTAATGTTAGACGAGGAGCGGGGTTGAGACCTGCCTTGGGCGTATCCTTGTCACCTACTGCAGACGAAGCGGAGGGAAAACAGCAGCAGGTGATTCAGGCGCCTGGCACGCCACGGAAGGTGGCACGGCCAAAGAAAAAGTGCCAGGAGACGGCGGAGACCACGAATGCTGCTTCTGGAACTTCGTCTGCCGAAGAGGCCGCAACCTCACTGGCGTCTGCGTAACACAAGTTGTGCCTGAGATGCGGTTTTTTTTTTTGTGCTTCCAACTGGTGAGGTGATTTGGGTTCTGCGTGTGTCCTTGCCCCATCAATCTCCTTCCCCCGCCACGCTTTCGCGCACGGGGGCCACCGCAATCTCACACATTTGTTTATCATTACATACCGAGCCTCTGCATCTGTGAGGAGGTGAAACCGAAGAAGAAGAAGAGAAAGACAAAAAAAAAAAAAACTGCCCTCACAATGACATATGCACAAAGAGGAAAACGAGGACAAACGCAAGAGATGCGTGTGTTAGCAGTGTGCTATGCTTTCCCTCTCTGGCCGTGTATGTGATGTGGCTCATCTTGTAAGGTTAATGCATACGTAGGCGTCGGTGGCGGTGGACATCCAACGATGCTTCTAATGTCATGTGTTGTTGTTGTTCAGTCTCATGCACCCTCACTCTTTCAAACATGCGCATACACACATACACACTCTCCTGTTTTCTCTTTTTCATCTTTGTTACTTATCCCACTTGATTTGCACGTCCCATCGCCACTGCCACATTTGGCACCCCCGCATTGCACAGGGGAGGGGGGGGTGCAATTCACAATCATACAGAAGGAGAGGCGTGAAGAAGCGAAGGACAAAACACACACAAAGTACTTGTTTTTTTTTCTTGTTCTTTTTTATTTATTTAAAAAGCGACAAAAAAGAAAAGAAGAAACGGAATCACAAAAAGGAGTGAGGGTGAACCTGCATACTCACGCCCATAACTATATATATATATATATATAGAGAGAGAGAGAGACGTACCGAAGGAAGGCGGGACGG